TATTATTATTAATTGATTAATGACTTTTAAGGATCTCAAGAGCTCAAAAAAGTGTTCATGATTGTTCTTCTCCCCCCATATACAATTTTACTGTCCATTGGTAAATAAATTAAATATAGTCCTAAATTCAACGCCATTTTTCCAGAAAATGTTGATAACCGTCATAGGTAACTTCATGTAAAATTCGTCCAAAAATTAAATGCCTCAGATGTTTTCTCGAGCGGCACAAGAAGATTTTACTCGCTGAGTATATACAAAGTGTCGGAAGACCTCTTATCTTCTAATCTGATAGAGTTATGCATGACACATCCTATCCAAGCATGTATAAATCCATTTTCAAGGTAGCAATATTACACTGTCCTGCTCTCTACCTGCACTAATATTAAACATTTTTTAGGAACAGGCACTATATACCCTTCATTCTGCCCCGTGTGACGGAGTTACATTGGAAAGAACCGTAAACATAGATTGTTCGACCTACATTCGAGATCGTATTATAGTTTATATCCAATGAACAAAAAAAGAAGTCTTAGAGTAAGGGACAACATTACACACTTCGCTTTGGCATTTGCACCCGCTGTTCTCATTGCGCGCCCTGGACGCGGATGGAATCGTTGTGACAGTGGTTCGATTGTGCGAGGCTACAGTTCAATCAAGCAGTTGAAGGAGTCAAGACCCACTCGACCGCGAAGGCGACGCCTATCGACGCATCGTTGTTTTCTACTCCGTTCCTCAAAACGGCTTCGGGATAGGGATGCGGATTATTCGGGTAAGCCCACACAGTACATTTGGCATCCTCAGAATGGCCAAGAAACGTTCGCAAGTGGGCGTTAGCGTATTAGGATTCGTAAGGTCCTCAAACCAAGCTTCATTGATCGAAAGGTCTAGAACGCGATTCCCGGCGGTTTAAGCATTTTTCCAAAATAGCTACGGTAGCCTGGGTCAGGAACGATGAAGTTTTCGACAGGTCCGCTGCTGATTTGTTGATCAAATCAGGCGGATGCCGGGGCAGTGGCTTGAACAATGGGCCTTGTAATGGTAACGGTAAACTTTCCTTTCGCATTAATTGCTAACTCCCTTTTCTAGTAGCGGACATAAATGAACGAAAAACAGACAGAATAGTCAGGTCAAAAATGGAGGAAGAGATGAGCAGAGATACGGCACAAAGAAGGGGAGATAGAGGGAGGTGATAAACAGAGGGAAGAGGTGAGAGGCAGAGGGAGGTTGTGGTAAACAGACGGAGAGAAAGGAGGTTAGTCAAGAGGGTGGGAAGAGAGAGAAGACGGAGATTCTGATTGCCTTTCCACTTATCTTCAGTGCCTTTTTCCACGTGGTAAGAATTATTTCGTTATCATTTCAAATCGCAAATACAAGAAACCACACATGATAACGTATGGATTTATTTTATATTAACACATCTTGAACAGGTAGTATGGCAAGTCCAAAAGAAACAAAAATATTTAATGGACGTAAGAATTTTCTCACAGTGACATATGCTGATGAATTATCTCTTTTTCAGAGTATTTCAGTTGATAGGAAATCGCTAATATCGCCAATATCGCTTTCCTTGTTAACAAACATGAGAATCATGTTAAGGTTGATCTCGTGGTTTTTTGGAAGCTAGGAGCTCAGATTTGGGCACATAATTTTATAGCCGTGGTGCCACACGACACGAAACACAATTCAGAGTGTTGCAATGTCACGCAATGGGGTGTCTGCATGAAGTCCATTAACACAAAAACAATATGGTGCATAAATGACAAGTCACAAGGATGGCGATGCGAATGTATGCGATATTGTAAGTAACGCGTACAATTCAATGTGATAACATGCGATTAGATTCGGTACAATGCGATGCGTTGCGAATTTAGATTGGCAATTCGAACGCTATTAAGTATGTATTGTGATGCCGATGCAATGCAAAGCAATGCGATGCGATTGCGATGAGATGGCAATTCGGTAGGATGCAATCCGTTGCGATTAGAAAATAATGCTATTTCAGATGTGTCGCGGATACGATAGTTTAGATCAAATGCAATGCAAATGCAATGCGAAGTAAATCATCGCATAAAGCATCTAAGTAGCCATGTTCGTACCTTGAGCCAATGTGGGGTCCAGATACGACGTAATGCAACATCTCTCTGCAGAAATTGAATAGGCGTCTAAAGTGGAAATAATTGTTTAACTGAGATTAAACTCCAGCTCAAAGATATCACGCAGCCTTTGGGTGTCAAAAATTATCGCTGTTAATTTCAAAAAGTAACAGTAGTTTATAAGATAGATATTATATGTCAATTAGAACTCGGTGACATGGAAGCTGATCACACGTTCATAAATTTTAAAATAGAAGAGTTAGGTGTTCTAGGGTGCGTTCTTATTCCTTGCAGGGTGGTCTTTTTTTAAGCGTTTCAAATTTCATTAAGAGAATTCATTCTAAAATGCTTGAACGAGGGATTAAACATTGATAAAATCTTATCAATCCAACCTTAAATAGAAAAAGTTCAATATTATTTTTTAAAAACATAACCCTTTTCAAAACAATCATAACACGTATAAAAAATTAAAAAGTAATGTCTAAAATGCACTTAAAACAAAATCGTTTGACCCATTTATTGGAGTCTTCAAAATAAAATCTTCATATTATACATTAAAGAACAGAGAAGTCGCAGTCACAAATTGGAAACCGGGTCTGTTTTGCAACAGGGTAGTATTAAGAGAATAAATTAGAGAGAGTTTGAAAAGGGTTAGTTACTTGAAACTAACAGGGTGAATCGACACCTTTTGACAATTTGTTTTACTTTTAACTGGCTCTTATTCATGATGCGAAATGTTTATTCATTGTATCATGCTCCTGAAGAAGGTTCCAGCCAAAGTAATGAACATTTTAACTTAATTTATACTTCGTATTTGTGGTGTTTATGGTTATCTTAATGAATTTGTTTCAACAAGTGATATTATTTGTTGTTTGTAAATAAGCGCTTGAGATGATTATGGTAAAATATAGACATTAAATGTATCTAATAGATGAATTTATTTTCTTTTGCAGGTTGGGCCAGGGAATGTGCCGCAAATCCTGAGCGTCTAGAAGGGGTGGTCCGTTGTAGGCGCACCGACTGAGAGATTCGTGAACCGCTGTCGTGGCCAATTCCCTGTGCAGCTGTGGCCGTAAAAGAGGGAAGCGACTCGGTCCCTTCGAAGGGCTTTACAGCCTCCTTCGATTCCCGAGAGAAACATTTTTCAACAATTCTTCGTGGAAATTAATTATTCTTAAGATACTGTTTATTTGTGACAAACTCGTCCAAATATGACAATATATTCAATATAGCACAATCATAATCAAATCAAAATGATATCACTATTTGAACTACGAGGCTTCATCCGTATTCATTCACGATGTTACACTACATGTAATATTCACAGTCTTTTATTACAAAAATTTATAGCAATTTTATATTTTTTTATATATTTATTTTTATAATTATAAATTGAATTCCTGAACTATTCAGGAATATTTATTTTTATACTTATTCTATATAGACCCCATATCTGTTTGATATTATTTTAAAGAATACAAGTACGTTGGCATCAAGGTAATGCCAAGTCTTTTTGTCTTTAAAAACGAGCGCGTTAATGAGATAAGTCGGGTGTTACTCAAGCACTGTGCGGACGTGGCCTTGGTGCGATGGGTCTTCAATTCCTTGGGAACTGTCCGGGCGAACGGCCTCTGCAAGTCCGCGCTTCACACAACTTACCGTCGCAAGGGATGTGGAAATTCTCCCCACCTACCGCCGCACGCCCACACTTCAGGATCGCTCTAGACACACGTTCGATCGTTTATTAAAATTGGTTTGCCTGTGTCAATCTTTCTTGTCAGACTGTCTCTGAAATCGCGTGCGTTGTTTTGGTATACTATCCCACTGAATAAAATTAACAAGACGAGACACTATGTGGCGAGATCTCGCGGTCACAAGCTAATTTAACTGTCCTCCCTTGTAATAGTTCATAAAAACCGAGGGGGTGGGAATTTGGTACAAGTGGCAGGCTATCTGCACAAAGTGAGGCGGCCACTTTCCCAAAGTGATGGCGGGTGTGCTGTCCTGCACATTGCG